CCCTCGCAGGCTGGTTGCACTGGGGCGCGCACCCGGAGTCTCAGCAGCACCGCCCCGCTTCACCGGCACAGCTGCCATCAGTCGGGGGACACCAGCCTGAGAACACCCAAGCTCAGCCGTGATCCATTTCTCACGTTCTAGGAGGGGTGTTGAGCTCACACAACAGAGCCCAGAGGCTGTGCACGCAGCCTCATATGTTGGGGGGGGCTTTGTCCCACACTCCAGTGCTCACCGGCTCCTGCCTGCCCGAGTGGGTTTGCACTGTCTGCGTGAAGGGCCCCTCCCTGAGCTGGCCTTGCTCTGTGGCCTTGCCCCAAGCACTGGTGCTCCCTGCCGCAGCCTCTGCCAGGTTCACTGTAGAACCGGGACCTAGAGCACAGGCCTCTGCCAGTCGTGGGTTCGGGCGCTGGGGCTTAGAGGGCGGACGCACTGAACAGAACACAGCAGTTAGATGACACGCTCTCTGCGGTTATGTGCCATGGGGCGGGCGACTCACACATGCCGGCTGGGATGGGGTGCAGTTTCTGCAGGGTCAGGAGGCCCCACTGAGCCCCAGAGAACTGGGCACCTGTTGCTGGTGGGAAGAGCAAGTAGTAGGGGACCACCAGGCCTGGAGATACACGAGCAGGCTTCCTGGCAGAGCTGTAGCTGACAGCCCTGGCCTGGGCCGCTGACGCCCAGGGAGTGAGGGGCACACCGGGCATGGACCGTCCTGTCTGCCCCGGGGCACTGCTGTCTCCCACCTCCTGGGCCCTTTCTTAGCAGCATCCCCGGACTGGCCACCCAGTCCCCTCAGCGCCAACACCCCCCACCCCCGTGGCCTGATTGCCAAGTGGAAGCACACGTTGCCCGTCTAGGCTGGTGTGTGGGGTGGCTGGCCTGGGAGGTAGATGCTTTCTTCTGGGATGTGCAGTGTGGCCTGGGCTGGAGGGCCCTGCTGTGAGGAGGTTAGGGAAGGACGGCTATCTGGGGAGCTGTCTTGGGAGGGGGTTCTTCATGGGTGAGTTGCCATGGCCTCAGTGTTCCTGCCAGAGAGCTCAGAACCCCAGGGTGCTCCTGGTAGGCCCCAGTCTGAGAGTAGCGTCCCTCACCCCATAGACCCCATAGTCTGATGGCAGTGCCCTGTCATCCTAGTCTAAGGGAATTGTTCCCTCCCCACCTTTCTGAGAGCCATGACCTGGCCCTGCCGGATGGAGGCAGTGCCATATTTCTCCATCTCTCTCAGTCGGAAGGTGAAGTCCCGGCATCCCCCCTCCCCGCCCCCGCCCAGCCTCTGAGAGCATGCTCTGGTGGCATGCCACCTTGCAGGAGCCGACTGTGATAAGAATTTACAAGCCAGCGTTCAGACTGTTGGCAGCCGAGCCCAGCTGTGGTGTGTTTACACCGCAGGAGCTATACGTGCTCCATTTGAGGGCTCCCACTCCCGCATCTTTCTCCGTGGGGCCATTCTCCACTCTTCCTGTTGGCCTTCTGACTCGCCTCCACACCTTTCTCTCTGAAGCCTTCCCTGGCAGTCCTGTCTTTTTTCCTCTGCTGTTGTCCTGGTACTTGTGGCTGTCTGCCAACCACGTGCCTGTCTCTTCTTTGTAGGCTTCAGGAGGATGGGAATGTGTGTCTGTTGTGTTTGCTGCCCAGAACAGAGCCAGTTCATAGGCACCCTGTAAGCACTGGGTGGATGGGCCAGTGGGCAGGTGGCTGGGTAGATGGGTAGATGGATGGACAGGTGGATGAATGGGTGGATGGACATGTGGGTGGGTAGATAGACGGTGGATGGATGGATGGATGGATGGGTGGTTGGATGGATGATGGGTAGGTGGGTGGATGGGTGGATGGATGTGTAGATGGAGGGATAGATGGATGGGTAAGTGGGTGGTGGGTGGGTGGATGGTTGGATGAGTGGATGGATGGGTGAGTGAGGAGATAGGTGGGTGGATGGATGTGTAGATGGGTAGATAGATGGGTGGGTGTGTGGGTGAATGGATGGGTGGGTGGGTGGAGATGGATGAGTGGATGGCCCACAAGGCCCAGTGGTGGGCACAGGCACAGGGGCTCCCACCTCCCAGGGCAATCAGGGCTCCCTCTGGCCCTGGACATGGACTTGAAGGCCCCAGCAGCTCTGATCTAATCTCTCCGGCTCCAGCTGGCAGCACCCCTGGCTTAGCCAGCCAGCAACATTTCTGAGCAGCCAGGGGAGCAGATGGGGCTACTGGACAGCCGAACCCCAGCTTGAGCTGTTTGGGGTCGTGGCCTGGGGACAGAAGTAGGTGACCAGCCAGCCCATTATGTCTGGGATTGGCGTGGTGCCCAAGGTGCAGGACTCAGTTTTAGAGGACTTTCTGGGAAATGGGGCTTTTAGAGCCAAAACTGGCCCCGTGAGAAAGGGTGACAGACCCCAGTCTGCCCCACCTGCAGGGTCCTGCTGAGGAGTCGGGCTGAGGCTTCCTTTCTGGGGCCCAGCTCAGAGAGAAGACAGGCTGCTTATGCCTGTGCAGTGGAATGTGGCACCCTCCCCCTTCCATTTCCAGCCATGTGAGGTCGTAGTGTAGTCCCTCCGTCTCCTCTCCTCTTACTGGGTAAACTTGTGCAGTCAGCAGTCTTCCCAACGGTGCACAGTAGTCTGCACTGGTCCTTCCCTGGACCTGTGGTTTCTCTGGGTCTAGCTTTTCTCTCCTGGGGCAGGGACGCTGCCCTGGGCTCAGGCTGAGCTTCTGTCCCCCAGCAGTGACTGTGTGGAGCTCGTGAGGTTGAGGACTAATGGTCACAGCCATAATCTCCACTGGAGCCACGGTAGAATCTCCCAGAGGGCCTGCTGACACAGGGTTTGAGTTTCAAACTCAGTAAGCCTGGGGTGGGTTCGTGTTCTGAACAAGTCCCCGGGTGCTACTGATGCAGCGGGCCCAGCGACCCTGCTTTGAGAAGCACCGGACTGTACCTCTCGGTTTCTTAGGCTTCCCCCAGCGAGGCAGCAAGGAAGGTCCCCCAAGCCCCAGTTTTCTCCACTTTCGGGAAGGGCTGTTGTGGGGTCCAGGACAGCGGGGGCCCGCAGGCGCCGACAGTGACACCTGGTGGCTTCTTGGGGCCGGCCCAGGGCTCAGGCAGACAGAACCACATCACACGCACACGCGCACACACACACGTGTACACACACACACACACACACGTGTACACACACTGCGTCACACACACGTGCATACATCGTGTCACATACATGCACACATAAGCATGGACACACACTGCAGCACATGTGCACACATGCGTGCACACACTGCAGCACACACGCGCGTGCTCACACACACACACTGCCGCACGCACATATGCACGCCCACAAACGCACTCACACACACGTACACACACTGCAGCACACATGCGTGCATCCTGTCACATGTGAGGGACTTGGTGGCATCCCATTTCACAGGTGAGGAAGCTGAGACTTGGAGAGTCAGGAGAGGCCGCACTGGTTAGGGTCTGTACATGCAGCGCTCAACCAAGTAAGAAGGAGCACAGGAGGCAGGGGTCCCCAAGGCCCGGGATGTGGGGCCAGGACCCTGCCCTTGGCCTGCCTCGGAGAAGGAGGCTGGTGCTGAGGCCTGGGCTTTCCTGGGGCCCTGGCACCCGGGGCCTTGGGCTGGGGATTGTGGGCACTGGTTCTGTCTTGTCATTTATACTCTGCTGGCCGACAACCCAGGGCCCATGGCTTTGGGGGCTATACCCCCATCTTGGGACCTGGGGTGGCCCTGGGGAGCAGGGGCTCTGAGGGCTGCCTCGAGAGAGGCTTCTGGCTGAGCCTGCCGTGACATGCACAGGAGCAGGGACCCAGGTCCCTAGGGTGTTTCCCAGGACTCAGGAATATTCTAGATCATAGCCATTGTGCCTTGATGATCCATCTTGACCTTTGGCCCGGTCAGGATCTCCAGGCTGGAGGGTGTTTGAGACAAAAGGGCTGGACGTGGAGGACTGGCTAGAGGCTCTGGACCCAGTCAGACCTCACTGACCCTGGTCATGGGGTGCATTCTGCACGTTCCTGCACTTGTGAGCACTGCGCTGAGCTAGGAGGCTTGGACAAAGAGGAGGGCAGGACACCCATACCCCTCGCGGTGTCCCCACGCTGGTGAGGGGTCAGCGGCCACCTGGGTCTGCTCCACGGAAGATGCCAGGCACACAGACAGGGTGTGGATGGTCTGCAGGTGTCCCACACACTGACAGAGAGGACACAGCTGCAGGATCTGTGGGAACTGCGGGAATTGGGAAGCTGGGAGGTCAGGAGGTGGTGGAACCCTGGACAGAGAGTGGGGGAGCCCAGGACACTTGGGCCATGTGGTTGGGGGTGGTGACTGCAGTCTACAGCGGTCTGAAGTTATGTCCCAGTGAAAAGGAAAAAAGCAGCAGGAATTTGGGGTTCACCTAACTTTCTGGGCTTGGCTTGGCCGCCTGTAAAGTGGGCACAAGCGTCCGATCTCTTATGGGCTGCTGCGTGAGAGGGGACGGGGCGCTGGCCAGCATACACCGGAGCAGCAGCCGTGCTTCTAGACGCAGAGCCAAGGCACAGAGAGGGCTAGCGGTGGCCCAGGGTCACGCTGTGGGGAGTGGCCGGTCCACATTTGTCTGCGCACACTTGGGACCACGGTGGTGTGGGTGCTGCAGGGGTGGGTGAGCGGCCGCTGGCCTGTCCTGGAAGCTTGGTGTCCGGCTCCCTGGTGCAGTGAGATGGGGTGGGGCGGCCCACCGGCTCCGGCTCCAGGAAACCAGGGCAGAGCTCACAGCGGCATTATGTCATTGTGTGTCGTCTGCTTTTCTGGGTGTTTCTGCTCCGAGTGGTAAATGGTCAGCTCCGCAGAGCCTTGCCCCCGCTGCCCTCTCTCTGGGTCGTGGCCTGGGGCTCAGTGTGGGTGAGCAGGGCAGGGCAGGGGTGAGGAGCCTGACCCTGGCCGGGCCCCTGCCCTGCCCCCACAGGCAGAGGGCTTGGGTCTGTGTTTGCTGAGCCTGCCTCTCCCTGTCCCCAGATGAAGGTCACCGCGTCCAGAGGGGGCGACCGCCACAGTGGGGACGACAGCCTCCACGAAGCCACCAGCTCCCAGACGAGCAGTTCTCGGGACCAGCTCAGTGACGTGAGTGCCCCAGCTGCTTTGCTCAGCCAAACACTCCTGCGACTCGGGTGCCCGCAGCCGGCCCCCCACCCCCACAGACACCTCGGGCCCACGATTAGCACCTGAGACTCACTGGGGGCTTTGCCTTTGCAATTAGCATTTTGCCTTCATTAAAACATGATTTTTCGGTAATTAGGACTTCCGCACTAGGAGGGGTTTAAATGGGGAACCCAGAAGAGGCCCCAGCAGGACCCATGGGGAGGCCCTTGTCCAGCAGGGGGGCATGCCCTCACCCATGGGTGCTGCTGGTAGGGCAGTGGGCGGGGAGCCAGGGCCGTGGTGGGAACAGCGGTGGGCAGTGCTTCTGGTCTGGTGGGCGGGCCTGCTGAGGCCTCTGGGAGCAAGGGCGTTCTGGTCTGGGGACAGACAGTGCCCCAGAGGACAGGCCCCTGAGCCTCCATGACTGGGGCAGCACGGGGAGGATTGCACTTGGGACGTGGCCCGCTGCGTAGGCGTGTTGGGTTCCCTCCAGGGCCCCTGGCTCTCCCTGGCCACAGCTGCTTGGAGGAGGGGGTAGGTGGGCACAGTGGGGGATTAGGATGGAGACCGGGGTGAGGGGTCCCAGGAGGGAGTGCCTCAGGGTGTTGGGGGGGCCCATGAGGCTTTTGTCTTCCTAACCCCTTGCTGCAGAAGCACCGAGGCTGGGGGCTGGGTTTCTGGATGATTGAATGGAGGGAGCGTCTCTCATTATCATCTCAATAGGGGCCTGGGGGCGCGGCCCGTGGGGGGGGCCCCCGGAGGAGGGCTAATTGCCTGGCCCGAGCTTGCTGCCACAAGATGGGGAAATAGGCTGGTAATTGTCTGGGGCTGTGGGGCTGCCCTACTTCGGACGCTAATTGCCGGTGGGACGCGTGAAGACGGATTCTGAGCACATCAGGGACAGCCCTGAGGGCGCACGCTTGGAGAGCAGTTACAGCACCCCCCCCCGCCCCCCGCCCCCACCGGCAGGGCTTAGCAGTGGGCTTCCCAGCCCCGCCAGCCAGCCCCGCCAGCATCTGCCTGGGGAAGGAAGGGTCCCAGAGCCCCGGCCGAGGCTGGATGGGGTACCGTGTACAGAGAGCAGAGAAGTCCAGGCGGCATTGGGGGACCCTCCCCTACACACACCCCGTGGTCACCCACCATCCTGGAGGAATCTGCAGCCAGACCTCTGTTCCCCCCAGCAGGCTCCGGACCCTGGTCTGCGGGTCCTGGACGAGCCTGCGCTGGCCCGCTGAGCACCTTCTCGTCACTCACCCTACGCTGCCCCCCAGCATCTACCTGCCCCCCCCCCCGTCCCCCCAGCCCCCACAGCAGAATGCCCTTCCTCACGCAGCCTCCCGCAGGGCCCAGGTCTTGTTTCTCATGGCACCAGAGAGCGCTCCACCAAGTGCTGTTGGGGCTCCCTCAAGGGACCTCCGGTGGCCACAGTGTGCCCTGCCATCTTATTTGCGGGGCCCCCGAGGTTACCCGTCCAGCTCCCCTTCCAAGAAGCCCGCCCTCCACCCCTGTACCCCCACAACCCTGGGAGGCTGGGAGGCTGGAGGCTGCTGAGTAGTCAAGGGCAGGCCCACCTGGGCACAGAGGAGTGGGCCCGCCTCCCCTGCGTTCCCGTGGCTGGTGGAACCATGTGTGGAAAGGTGGGACCTGGCTCCGCGAGGGGCCGAGATGGACCTGGGGGCTGAGTCCCTCTCTGAGGCAACATGGCCACTTCGCCCTCCTCTCCGTTGGGCTCACTCTGCTGGGCTGGGCCACGTCTCCGGAGTCTCCCTGGGGAGGTTCCAAACATGGGTCCCCAGGCACAGGTGTGAGGCTGCTGGGGCTCTGGGCCACTGTGCTGTACCCTCCCTTGCGGCTTCCGTCCCAGGTCCCAGCCTTGTGCCCCCAACTCTGGTGACCCAGCAGCAGCCCAGGGCCTGGGCCAAGGGGATGGTCCTCAGAGGAGGGGCCGCCCGGGGGAGCTATGACCGTCCTGACTGTGCTTCCTTCCCCCACAGAGCTCCGCGCAGGCGGTGTCGGGCAGAGGCTACTCGGTAAGTCTGCCGCCCCCTCCACTGCGGGCTGGACCCACACATGCCCCCTGCCGCCGCAGCCCCCAGCCGTCTTCAGCATCTGGTCCCTGCCCCAGCAGCGGGGCTGGGGCGGAGGCCGGTGGAGGCCAGCTGGGAGCGTCGCTCAGGGTCTCAGAAGAGTCGGCCCTCGTTGCCTGACTGCCTGAGGACCAGGGGTGGGGAGATGCTCTACCCCGGGTCCTGCCAGGAGGCACTCCAAGTAAAGGGTTCCGGGCACCGAGCAGCAACCCCCCCACCCCAGGGACTTGACACCCCGCATGCCGTGCTCCATGCTCCGTGCTTGGCCGGGGCTCAGGTGTGAGGACCCCGGGCCCTGTGGCCTCCCGCCTCCTGCCCCTGCTTCCTGCCCCTCCCCTCCTCCTACCCCACCCCTACCCCAGCAGCCCCTACCCTTTCCTCGTGGCTTCATTTTGTTGCCCCTTAAGTATCAGGAGGAACGTTAATGACGCCATAAAACCCAGAGCTCCATAAAAGCCATTTTTGCAGATTTACAGCCGTTTTTTGGCTCATTGGAGGGTGGGGCCTGGGCTCTGCCCGCCTCATCCTCCCCTCCTGCCTCTGCCCCCAGCCCCTGATTTACTGTGAGCCCCAGAGTTCCAGGCCTGCTGGGCGGCTTCTCTAAATCACATCAGCTTTTTATAGGGTGTGTAATTAACCCACTGACTTTCTGTGTGAGGGGACACCCTGCGCCCCTGAGCCTCCCCTGACCCCTAGCCGCCCTGACCTCAGGGTTGGGTGGGTCAGGTGCCGGGTTTTCAGTGTTGCACCTGGTGGGCTGTAGGCTTCTGGGTGGTGGTCACATCCTGATGCCGGAGGCGTGTCTCCCTGGGGGGCCCTTCCCTCCTCGGGTCTGGCCACAGCCATGGGTGGCGGCCTGCACTGCCCCTTCTCCCCACGGGCCGGGTCGTCTCAGCATATCCTTGGCTCCTTGATGGAGTGGCACTCTGGCCGGGAGTGGTGCCAGCGCTGGGCTCCAGCTGGGGGCAGAGTGCTAGTGTGGGAAGTGGCTGGTGATAACACTCGGTGTGATGCAAGTCGGGACAGGGAGAGTGAGGGGAAGGTCAGGGGTGTGTGTCAACCTAAGGGTCCCAGACGGGCCAGGCCCAGGGACGCCCCGATTGGAGCCTCCTTCCGTGTGTGAGAGTCCCTGGGCAACTGGGGTCTCCCTGCCCCGAGCCTCCTTGCCAGAGCTTCTGGGCGGCCCTTCTGCTTCCAGATTGCATGTGTTACTCATGGTCTTCTCCCCCAAGAGCTCCTTGGAATGTTTCCTGGAGAAAAACCCGTAATTAATGGGCCAGATGCTTGCAACTTAACCCCCGTGGCCACTGCACGGGAGTGACAGGTGGTGGCAGGGACGTACCCAGCCTGCTGCTGGGCCATGGCGGTTCCTGTGTGTGCATGCCAGGTGCTGGCAGGAGCAGGTGTATGCCGGTCCCCGGCAGGAGCAGGCGTGTGCGTTAGGTTCTGGCATGAACAGGTGTGTGGATTAGGTCCTGGTACAAGCAGGTGTGTGCTGATCCCCAGCATGAGCAGGTGTGTGCATTAGGCCCTGGCGTGAGCAGGTGTGTGCTGATCCCTGGCATGAGCAGGTGGGGGCATCAGGTCCTGGTATGAGCAGATGTGTGTGCTGGTCCCTGGCACGAACAGGTGTGTGTGCTGATCCCCAGCATGAGCAGGTGCGTGCATTAGGTCCTGGCCCAGCATGAGCAGATGTGTGTACTAGGCCCTGGCATGAGCATGTGTGTGCATTAGGTCCTGGCACAGACAGGTGAGTGTGCTGGTCCCCGGCACGAGCAGGTGTTTGTGCTGGTCCCTGGCATATGCTGGTGGGCGGGCGCTGCAAGGTTCAGGTGGTTGGCCTGGCCCTTCCAGAAGTAGAGGTGCCTCTGGCACTGGAGGAGGCAGAACCAACCCCTGTGACCCTCAGCCAGTAGGAACAGAGAGGGTGGGGGCAGGTGGATGGCCAGGCCCAGGCCTGGGAAGTTCTGTGAGCTCAGCGCCCAGATCTCTGTGTGCACTGGGCCCCCAGGGCTGTCTGTGGCTTCCGGCGCTGCCCACCAGGGGTGTGAGGGCTGGGCCAGCTGGATTGGGCAGAGGGGGGCTATGACCCTGCCTCTAAATCCAGGCTTCACCATGGACGCCCCAGACACTCGAGTGTACACACTGAGGTCAAGGCATGCGTGTGTGTGCATGCATGGTCCCTGGGTGGCGCGTGTGGCTTCTGCCAGCACCTGACCCGTGTACAGCTTGCGGATGGCTCTCCGTGAGAGGAGAGTGTGTGCCGTGTCCCCGTGTCTCCTTGTGGCTGTGGGGGGCTGTGCACGCCTGTAAGTCCCAGTGTGCTGTTTCTTTCTGGACCATGCGCATGTCCGTCTGGAAGGGTGTGTGCGTGCCCGTGTGTCTGCGCTTAAGTGGCGGTCATGGCGCCGGTGCCTGGATGTGAGCCGCGGCTTCGCGTGCGGGTGTGCACCTGTGCCCCGGTGCCTTGCTTGTGTGTGTCCATAGGTGGGACCTCAGGGTCGGCAGGGCTCATGTCTGTCCCCAACAGCGTCCCTGCACTAGTGACCCAGAGCAGCTGTCGTCTGACCTGCTTTATAGACCGTACTTAAAGGGCTTTAATTCTGTGAGCTTTATCCCCAGCAAATCCCCAAGTACTGCTCATCCTCGACAGCTTGTCCCGGAAGCTTGGTGTGGCCTCCCCGGCACACATCAGGTGTTCCTTAGTGCCGCGAGATGAGTTGGAAAGTAATTTTCTCCGTTCAGCTGCTGGGAACTGGGGACGTGACAACCCATCTCCCTCCATAGCAGGGCTTGGGAGTTCTTTTATTAAAGGGAAATGAGGATCTGGATGCCTGCTGGGGCCGGGAGGCCGGCCGAGTGCGTCGCACGGAGTGTTCTGGAAGTGGCCTGTGCTCACAGAGGCTCTGGGGCTGCAGACAGGAGCGGAGGCAGAATGGCAGTGATGCCACCGGCCACCACCTGTGATGAGCCGGGAGGTCTCAGGCCCTCCATGTGGACGTGATCACCATGGCAGTGACCCCACCCCCCACCTCTAGGTGAGGACTGAAGTGCAGGGCTCAAAGACCCTCCCCCCGCAGGTGCCGGCCAAGGGGCTGAGCTGGGAGCCGGAGCAGGCAGGCCCGTCCGCAGGTCCCCTCCGTTCCCAGGCCCATCATGGGTTCTCAGACCTCTCCTGGGCACCCTCCTCCCTTCCACAAGTGTTTGCTGACCCGGGTGGCCAGTGTCCCCGCCCCACGGGCCTCACCGTGCCACGGAGAAGATGCTGAATAAAGCCAGTAAGAATGTTCCTAGGTGGACGCGGCGAGTGCAGAGGTGACCCGGCGGCAGGGAGGGGCAAGGCCAGGCTGCAGGGGGCCACAAGTGTGAGTGTGCATGCTGGGGCAGGGGGAGGGACCCCGGGAGCAGGCGGTGCAAAGGCCATGCAGGGGGAGGGCTCCACCTGCCCACGTGAAGAGCAGCAAGAGGCAGGGGGCTGCTGTGGGCAGGGCGTGGGGCTTTCCCTTGGACGCAGGTGGAGTTCTCAGCAGAGCAGGGCTGGATGGGGAGGAAGAGACCTCTGCCTTCTCCCCAGGCCAGGCAGCCGCGAGGCCACAGGGGTGAGTGTGGGAGAGCCGGCCACAAGCCAGGCACAGAAGGGCACAGGATGCCCGCCAGCTCGTTTGGGTCAGGCAGGCCCCCGTCGATACCTGCCACGGCAGGAGCCCCTCACGCGGGGTGTAATTAGCCAGTTGGCTTGATTGCCTTTGAGAGATTTCTGGAAATTGATTTTCAGGATTCGGTTGGGCTACAGACAGCTAATTTCCTAGCACCTCCAGCCCCGGCACCATCCTCCCACCCTGGAGCCCAGCTGGCGAGGGCCACAGGGCTGTGGAGGGAGGCTGCTGTGGCCGGCAGCGTGGCCCCGGCTGGCCCCAGCATGGCCCAGACTGTGGTTATGGAAGGTTCCTTCACGTCCGCGTCCGAGCTTCCATTCGCCTGATGGGTCTGCCCTGGGTGGTTCCCGCACGGGCTGCTTGGGCCTCCTCACAGCCCTGGGGCTGTAACCGGCGTTCCCAGGGCAAGAGCCAGGAGAAAGCATTGGTGGTGTGGCTCCCACGCCAAGTAGTCATCAGACCCACCCGGACGCCAGCGGCCGGGCCGCGGCCCCTTTCCTCAGCAGGCACACCCCGCCCCCACGGAGCCCCTTACCCAGGGGAGGAGGGGCACAGCGAGCTCAACACCCGTTCGCACGTGATCCCTCCGGGGACCGTAGCTCCTGGCTCCGCACCTGCTTTCCCACCCTGGGTCCCCGGACCCCCCACTTCTGGAGGGATGGGTGTGTGCGGGCCACTTGTCAGTTTGTCCCTTGAGCTGCGCCCTCTGTGGCTGAAGTTGGGGGGTGCAGCATGAGCGGGGTGGGCCCGGGTCCCACCAAGGCGTTAGTGGCAGGAGGGCAGGTGCAGGGAAATCCTGACCAGCTGTCCTCCTTGGGGTGGCAGGGAGGTGCCTGGGGCACCCCTAGCCGTCCTGAGACCTGGCTCTCCGGGAGTGGCCCAGCACCCCCTGTCCCCAGCCGCCCCCCTGAACAACACTGGGTGCTGGCAGGCCCCAAAGCCGGCTCTGTCTTTACGAGGCAGGTTTATGAATCCATTACCCTGCTCCTTGGGCCACTTCCGAGCAGCCATAATTTGTACAAAAGCAATAAAACCCAGTCAGCCTCTCCCTGTGCGGGCTGCTGCATTCTCCTCATGACCTCTGAGCACGGGGGCAGTCCTGAAGCCAGCTGCTGGGGACAGGGATGTGCCTCTCAGGGGACAGCAGGAACTTGCGGGGTGTGTCCCGAGCGTGCTGTCCTGACCTGTGATGCAGCCCAGCCGGCCTGGCTCGTTGTCAGAAGGTCCCCTGCCCACCCACCCTTCACTCAGTCCACCTCCTAGAGCCCTGGGGTGTGCAGCCATGGC